TAACATCTGCCAATCCTCCTCTTTTTTTGCTGAGGAAGACTGGCCCTGGGCTAACATCCGTGCCCATCTTCCTCCACTTTATATGGGACGCCACCTCAGCATGGCTTGCAAAGCAGTGTGTCAGTGCGCGTGCCCAGGATCTGAACCAGCGAACCCCGGGCCGCCGCAGCAGAGCGTGCACACTTAACCGCTTGTGCCACCGGGCCGGCCCCCCAATTTTTTTTAAATAGGCCAAAACCATGCCCCCCAAAGCAAGAAGAAGAACAAAAATACCTGGAAATGTGAATGCCTGTATTTGCAATCCTAGGACTGCTGGCTACTGTGTTGTAGTCTTGGACATAATCACATATCCAGTCCCTGCCTCTTTGATGTATCTTGTACCCCTTGCACCCCAGCCCACAGTGGCCTTCCTTCCACTCTTCAAACCAGCCAAACTCAGTCTCACCTCAGGATCTTTGCTCCTGCTACTCCCTCTCCTTGGTAGGCTCTGACTCCAGATCTTAGCATGGTGGGCTTCTGTCATCATACAGACCTTCCTCTCCATAGAAAGGTCACACTTAATCACCTATCTAGAGTAGTGTCCACATACATACACTCTGTGCCCTCTCTGCCACATCACTTGTCTTTATCTTCATAGCACTTTTCACTTTGTGAGATTATCCTATTTCCACATTTGGTGCATATCTCTCCCACAAAAATGTAAACATCATAAAGCAGAAATCTAGTTGCCTTTTTAAGACAGGGGCTCTGAAGTCAGCTACCTGGGTTTGAATTCTAACAAAGGCAGAGCTATGTGACTCTGGGCAAGTTATTTAACTTCACTAGCAAAATAGGGATATGATGATATGAGCACCTACTTCTTAGGATTGCTGTGAGGTTTAATTAACAGTTGATATAAAAAGCTTAGGACAGTAAATAACACACAGGAAGTGATTAATAAAAATGAGTTGTTATTCTTCGCTGCCAGAGCACCAGCACCTTGCAGAGTGCCTGGTACACGGCCAGCCCTCAGTGGATATTCTGAGTGAACTGAATGATAATTTTTATCCCAGGCTCCCACCCAACTCTGTGTTGCTGACTCCTAACTCATCTTTTGAAACTTCAGAAAGTCTTCCTGAACAGTCTCTTCCCAACCCTCCACTGCCCATTCAGGTGCCCCTCCATCCTTTGTGCTCCCAAACAGTGCAAGCCTCGTGGCATTTTGTGTACTGAATAGTAGTCACTGTTTTCTCTTCTAGGTTCTACGAGATTAGAAACAGTAGTGCTTCCACAGGATTGGCACCAAATAGGCTTTCAAGGTTTGCTAAACAAATAGATTTGAAAAGTGACAAAGGAAATGCTTGACTAAGTAGTTATCTTTACCCTAAATTTCTAGGCCAATAACTACGGTTCTCTCTTCAAATCCAAGAAAACAAGTTCTATATGCAAGCACATATTGCAGATGACAGTTCTGAGGTTCTTGCTGAGCTAAGAAATGCCACAGCTGACTAAGTGCACAGGGAAAAAGACTGTCTTTTAGAACATGAATCGATCCAGCAAGCTTTGCACAAGATCCAAAGAAACATAGAAACCATTTTAACATCAAGCTTCCTTATCCTCATGAGTTATTAAAGCTAGACTTTGTGATCTTGATTTCTAGGTCTATTTTCTATGACTTTGCTGCTAATTTCAAACATTAGTAAAGGCCGTCTTTAGGAATGACATGTTCAGATGTCGCTTGGTTGGCCTATAACAATATCAGCACTACTTCAGAGCTCTACATAGCTCAGAAAACTCTCGGGATGCCAGTAACTGTGTCATGAACAAACAGATCTTCTCATCAGTCAACAGATAAATATTTATCAACAGATAAATATCAACTGCCTGCATGATGGAGGCCCAGTCCAATTTCAAAGTAAAGATGTCTTCCTAAAGTACATTTAAAACTTTCTTAATTTAGGTTTGATGGAAAGAACATAAATTATAAGTTTTTTTGTAGAGAACATTCATTACTGTTTGTATTTAAAATGTTTTTGTTACGGTGAAAAAACAGGGCTGGAATACACATAAAATATCTATCCAACCCCATACTGGTAGGGATCAGGATGCAGGGAATGTGAGGTTGGACTCAGATCTACTCAACTTCATATTTCACTCTACTCCTTAACATTCTTTATTATAATCTGTAATATTTCATGTTTCTATTCATCTGAGTGACACAAAAATATCTGGTTTTTTGTATTTGCGCAAGTTCATTTCAAAATGTCACACTCGCTGAACAGCAGTCACACACTTGCCTTCCAGCCTGGCCTTGAGGAAGACAGTAGAGCATCACACTCATACTCAGGGTCGTCTTCGGGTTAATCACAATCAGCTGAAACACAGGGCTTCCCAACGCCTCACTCTCTTTGGCACAAGGATGGCTCAGAACAACAAACAGGAGCCCCTAATTTAGGAGAAAAATTAATAACCAAATAAATCATCAAGAATATGTTGGGAAAAAGAAAGGGTTGGCACAGACAAAACTACAGAATTACAGGAACGATCGAGCGGCTCTTCAGCATCCGGGACTCAGTCCCTGGCTCACTCTCTTTCAGGCGGGCACTGCAGAGATCACCACTGAGCTGGACGTCAGCTTCTCCAGCACCGGCTCCCAGGGAGTTTTCAGCCAGTCTTTGCAGGTGTGAATCTAGCTGACTCATCGATTTCCTCCACCTTAGAGACTACTAACATCTCATGCCATCCAGTTGGGGAAATGTTGGCACAGGGAAAGGGGGTGTGTAAACACATGGAGGGAGTCCTCATACTAGAAATGTCAGTTTATAAGTTGGTTTGTGAGAATTCAGAACACATTTTCCCATAAAAACAATCTTGTAAGTGGTGACTGGATTTTTTGGCCATTCTATACAATAGCTTATTTATAGAGTAAGAGTGACAAAAAAAAGACACCATCACCTGTGGGAAAATGTGTTACAGACCTCTCTCAGCTTTAAAATTACATGTTCTAATAATAACGTTATTGTGTGTAAAGATATATATGTCACACACATATATAAACATAAACTTATATGTTAAAAATAATTATCTTTTTTTTTCATCCCCAAAGCCCCAGTATATAGTTGTATATTCTAGTTGTAGGTCCTTGTAGTTCTTCTATGTGAGCTGACGCCACAGCATGGCTGACAGACAAGCGGTGTGGTTCTGTGCCTGGGAACCAAACTTAGGCCGCTGAAGTAGAGTGTGCCGAATTTTAACCACTAGGCCATCAGGGCTGGCTCAAAAATAATTATCTTTGAGGGGAAAATGGGGAAAATTAATTATAGGGCTTTCTTAGGATTAAAAACATTCATTTCTACTTTATACATTTCTAGAATGACTGAATTCTTATAATGAGAATGAATTACCTTGATAATTAGAAAATAAGAGAGAGTCAAAAACTGTAAAATGCCATATACTTAACTAGGGGTCTGCACACTATGGCCCACAGGTCAAATCTAGCTCAATGCTTATTTCTGAATGGCCCATGAGCTAAGAATGGTTTTTGCATTTTGAAGTGGTTGGAAACAAGACAGAGGAAGAATATTTTGGGACATGTGAAAATTATGAGAAAATAGTTCTAGAAAGTTTTATTGTTCAAAAAGTTTTATTGGTACATAGCCACACCCATTTGTTTACATATCACCTCTGGCAGATTTTGTGCTACAGTGGCAGGGCAGAGTAGCTGCAACAGAGACCATGTGGCCTGCAAAGCTGAAAATATTCACTATCTGGCCCTTTATGAAAAAGTTTGCCAATTCCTGCCACTAAACTATCAGCTATTATTTCTGGAGGCTGGCTTCATGGGGAACTTTGACTTACTGTCTTACATATTTCTGTGTTAAATGTTTTAATATCAAATAGGTATTTATGTTGTAGTAACAAAGATATGATATTATTTAGAAGCCCAGTAGCTAAATGTAATAATTCCAGAGACAAATTCAACCTTCTTGTTTTAAGGATGAAAAAAGTTGAAGATTATGTGACAGGTTATCTAAGATCACACAGCTTTTGAGTTCAATTCCACAGATCCTGCTAGGCTAGGAAAAGATGCATCCTTTGCATTCAGAACCTCCAGGTACTGAGGCTCACAGGGCTGCCACTGAGGCTGGGAAACTCAGTCTGTACATAAGCACTTAGTTGGCTGCTATTGCCTCTGCTCGTGGTTCAACGGTCAATACTCAAGCAGTTATCCCTGACTCCTGGACAACTACCTTCAACCTGCTCGGATGTCAAAACTAGACTGTAAGCCAAGTCTATTAACACAATGGCTGAGAAGGTGTGTTCATTTCTATATGAGAACACTGAAGCCTAGAGAAAAACAAGTCTAGGACCATTTAATCATCCTCCCTAAGAGTATTCATTCACATCATAAACCATTTATTGCAATGTGATTGGGAGCCAAGTCTGATAATAGGCATATTTCTTGGTACAAATTCACAGGTAGAAATAATTGTTTGCCCTTAAGTCATACAGCCAGAAAATTTACCAAGCAATCATACTGTACCAACACTTATTTTCATCCATAAATTTCAAGAAAGAACAAACACTGCTATCCAATGTTGAAAAAAAATTGGCAACAGGGAGAGTCAGTTAACGACTACTTACTAAGCTACTGCTCTCACTCAGTGAGACCAACAGTAACACACAAAGTGGACACAAAGTGGTCCCAGCAGATGGTTACTTACCATTTCAGAATAGGCTTTGTGACAGACTGAAGCTTGGTAGGAATCACCGATGTGCATCTTTTTCAGGAGCTGGCCGGTTTTTAAATTCCTTAGACACCAAAAATAAATAAGCTGACAACATTCTTCCAGCAAACTGGTTTTCACATAATACTCTCTTATCTATTACAGCATCCTTTAGGAGGTGACCAAGGAAAAAACTAAGGGACACAGTACCTTTGTTTTGTTTAGTCACATATTTAGCTAAAGACAGAACTATAGTTTAACTTTGCCAGTAGTTTAATTTGATAGTTTAGCTTTAGGTTGAATCTGCTATGCCACAAGGGATAAATCTCTCCAAATTCCACGAGAAAAGTTTTCCACTATCTCATTTTACTTGGCATCAAAATTAGGCACATGGTGTAGCCCCATCATTATGATTTTGTCACACTTCTTGTTATGCCTAAATTTTCCAAGGAAGACAATGGTCAGGAAACCAAACTTGGTTAGGTGTGAGACTACACCTAAAACAGACTTATAATTATGTCTCTATAATATACGTTTATACTAGAGCTAGACCAAGATGATGGAGAGAGAAGGGAGGACTGAGATGGGGTAAAAAATGGAAAAAGGAAGAGAGGAGAGAAGGGGGTGAATATAAAGAAGAGAAAAGAAAGTTTGTTGGAACCACTCCTTAGCTTTATTGGGGATTTGTGACATTGATAACTGTTCTATCATGTTGACTCTACTGATGAAAAACTTTCTGGTGGCTCTCCATGAGCCACAAGATAAAGTCCAAATTCTTTCTCATGGTATTTATGACCCTCATGAATCCAGCGCTGCAATACTATACTATTCACTGCTCCCTTACTTGAAATCTTCTCACTATCCGTACAACGTATCAGGCATATTCCTGGCTCTATACCTGTGTTCAAGCTATCCCTTCCAATGCCCTCTCCATTACTGACTAATTCCCACCCCATGACTGACCAATGCCCATCCATTCTTTACAGCCTAGATTGTGTCCCACCTCCTCCAGCTGCACGAGCTCAATTTAGACTCTCATTCCTCCCTGTCGGCAGCAGTCCACAGAAATCTTTCCTCCAATTCCCTATAGTACTGTCCATATGCCTCATTTTTTACTTAATATATACTGTAACAGCATACAATGTATTCATTCAACAAATACTTGCGAACTTTCTATGGAACAGGCACTGTGTATAAAAACCGAAGAAGGAAAACAATTCTCATGTACATATGCAGTTTTCCCCACATAAGGGACACCAGGATTGGTTTACTCCTTACAGAGGTTAGTACATGCTCTGTATTTAGTAATTGCTCTTTCCCCAAATCCCAAAGCACTTTGTCCAAATCTCTATCACTTTGACCTTATGTGAACTGTAAAAGAATTGTACACTGTGAATTGTAAAGCAATCTTATTTACCCACTAGATTTTAGGGACCCTAGGACCAGGATTCATATCTTATTTGTATCTGCATCTCTCAGAGAGAATGGTACATAAGTAGAGACTCAAATATCTATTAAATGATTGAAAGATGGGTGCTCAGTTAACATAGCTTGACCAAGATTTAATATTTGGACCCTCAGCAATAGTTTCAAAAGGTCCACTGAACTTTGAGTATAACATGAATCGCGGGGCTGGCCCTGTGGCTTAGCGGTTAAGTGAGCACGCTCCACTACTGGCGGCCCGGGTTCAGATCCCGGGCAAGCACCAACGCACCGCTTTTCCGGCCATGCTGAGGCGGCATCCCACATACAGCAATTAGAAGGATGTGCAACTATGACATACAGCTATCTACTGGGGCTTTGGGGAGAAAAAGGAGGAGGATTGGCAATAGATGTTAGCTCAGGGCCGGTCTTCCTCAGCAAAAAGAGGAGGATTGGCATGGATGTTAGCTCAGGGCTAACACACAAAAAAAACAAAAAAAACATGAATCGCTGTAGATATCTACCAAATCAGGAGTTCAATAGGAAGTGAACTACTATACGTAAATATAAAGTTACATAGAGCCCAAAAGGTAAATGATAGCTTTTGACAGACAGTATGATCCATACATCTTTGAGTAACTACCCTATGCAAGGAGCTAAGGCAGGCACTGAGAACCGATGTAAGTTATGGTACCTATCTTCAAGGACTTTCATGGTAAAAAAGTAGCATATACTAAGTTAAAAATAAGGGCAATATGAACTAAGAGAGGGAAACATCAGTGAGGGCTGAGGTGATATGACAGAACTCAAGGCATCTGTGGGGCTGAAGATATCCCTTAAACTTAGAACTTAGACTTATTACTGAGAAGCTAAGTACAGTCATGCATCACGTAACGATGGGGATACGTACTGAGAAATGCATCATTAGGTGATTTCGTCATTGTGTTAACATCATAGAGTGTACCTACACAAACCTAGATGGTATAGTCTACTACACACCTAGACTATATGGTACTAATCTTATGGGACCACCGATGTATATGCAGTCGGTTGTTGACAAAAATGTCATTATGCTGTGCATGACTGTATAGAGGTTCCTCCCTAACCTCAAATTCTGTTGTGATCCATTATATATGAAATGCCAAAAGACTACTTTTAGAAAAAGGAAGGAACTGAGGGATGGGAAGAAAAAAGGGAGCTAAATAGTATGGAATAGCTGGAGAGGAATTTTTGTAATAAAACATTGGGGAAATGGACACTGAAGAAAAGCAAACATGGGTCCCCCTGAAGGTTTTATTTCTGGCGAGAAGGGGAAGGGCTGGGAGGAAGAATGTTTACAAAGTAATAGTATAAAAGATGATCTGGAGGTTGAATATCGATTGATGGGAAGGAGACTAATTACTAGCTTATATTAATAGTCTAAGAGCCCAATAATGAAGGTCCGAGCTATAGAAATAGCAGAAAGAATAGAAAAGACAACTTTTGTAAATAACATTGTCCTCAATTAAGATTTACATGCAGAAACCCTGAGGAAAGTGCCAAAGGTGGAAACTCACTGTTCTAGACAGCAGGACATTTGAAAAGAGGGACTCCTGGCAGATTAGAACATGGTCAAATTTCAGAGGCTCCCTGGTGGGGAGGGGACAAAGTGTCTCTCAGGGGCCATGCTTTTCTAGTTTATTCCTAGAGGGCTGGGGTTGGGCAGTGCAGAATAGGTAGGGTAGCAGTGACACTAACATCATAACTTTGTCTTACCAAGACCCACTCTGGCCCCAAGGAAACAGTTAATGGAGAAGGCTTCCGAGAAAAAAAAATCAATCTATTCTCCTAACACAAATTAACCTTGCAAGTGCCTACGGCCAGGTGTGGTTCTCCTCTGTGGTCAGGAAAGAGAGATGGCTGAGGACTCCTCGACTTCAGTTTCCCCATCAAAAATTTCTTAATTTGGATCCTTAATCAAACATTTCTTATGTAGCTAGTAATTTTGGATTGTATTCTAGACATTATGAATGACACATCACATAAACTCTGGATTCTGTTAGGTTCCTCTGAAGAATACTGATTTTTTTTTTTCCTAGTAAACAGTTACCTTGGCTCAAATCCCAAATGCTGAAAACCCAGTTCAGTTCTTTTTGCCTTACCTGGGCTGCTCTGAGTCTGCCCTGTGGACATGCAGATAAAGATCAGCCAGATATTCAGGCAGAGATTACAGCCAGTTTAGCGCTCCTTCTCTGGCCTCTACTTTTCAGGATTTTCTCTCTTACTTTCTAGCTGGTGGAGTCACCCTGAACTCTGTCCTTTGGTTCTTTAAGCCAGTAGGACAGAAGGTCTTCTATCAGGCGTTTAGTCATCCAGTGCACAGACTGGGGCCTACCCTCTGACTAAAAGCAATAAGAACAAGAAACTCGCAGTGACGTTGCCTTCTGCTAAGTGTCAAACCCCCTCTAGTATCTTCTTTTTCTTCCTCTCCAGTGCCTTCAGATAGTTGTTTTTTATATCTTGTTCAGAGTTTAAGTTATCTGAGGTAGGAGAGTTGGTCGGATGGAAGCTACTCAGCCATTAACCAGAAGCAGAAACAATCATATATTTTTAACAATAAAATTTCATTTATTTTAAATAGTCTACTCAGACTGACCTTTTTCACAATGTCTGAATTAATATGATTTTCTTGTTAAGATAAGTTTATAGCATCTGACAGAAAGCAAACAACCAAGAACATAATCATGTTTAGAGAGTCTTTGATCTAATCTTAACAACTCTGTGAAATTAGAAGTATATCCTTATATTACAGATGAGGAAACTGAGAGCCTCGTGGGAAAGCTTACCAGATAACAATGTTGTTCATTATAGTGGTACCAAGCAGAGCTTCCTGCATCCCTTGAACCTCAGCAAAAGTTAGTATAGTCTCTTCGGGGGGCATCAAAAAGTGTTTCTCTTTGCTTCTGCATTTAAAACAGTATTAAAAATCAGCACTTCGTATCAAAGCAGTTTCTAAGCAGCCCTTCTACAAATTATTGAGTTATGCATAATAAACACTAACCTAATACCAGAAAAAAATTTCAACCAGAAAACATGTATTCTAAACTTTCTACAATGAACATATATTATTTTCATATTATCTACCTGGATATATTGCAAGCACCTCAACTTCATCATATCCAAAATTAAACTCACCAGCTCTCTCTTTAAACCTCATGTTTCTTTCTGCATTCCTATCTCAACGAACTATACCACCATCTGCCCAGGTGACCAACCCAGAAACCTGGATATTATCCTTGTCTCCTTCCTCTCTGTCTACTCAATCACCAAGTTCTTATGATTTTATTATCTCATCTCTCTCAAATCTGTCTGCTTCTCCCCATCTCCACTAACACTTTCCTAATTTAAGCAAACAATTATCTGTCTCTTGCCTAGATTACTGCAACAGGTAATAAATAAGATAAACAAGGTCCACACCCTCTGTTATTAGGAAAGACAGATAATCACAATAAAGTATAAGGAGTACACATAGAGGATGCTATGAGTTCTGTTTTCAACACGTTGAATTTGAGGCACCCACGAGACGTCTAATAAATAGGTGTGCCGGTCTAGAGGTTGAGAAAGAGCTCAGAGCTAGAAACACAGGTTTGCAAGTAGTCCGTATCTAGATGGAAACTGAAGCAAAGGAAACCAAGTGTGTGGAACAAGAAAAGGGTCTAGGATCTTAAGGTCCTTGTAATACTTAAAGGACACAGAGATTTCAAAGAAGACTGAAGAAAGAACAAACTACACTTGCTGAGCTTCCACTCCATTGACTTCTTCCCTGCCACGTGTGGCTTTCACCTCTCTAAACTGCTTCTATGTTATAGCCCAGTGTTGAGGCAGAGCCTGCTATACTGCACCTAAGCACAGGAAAACAAGATGCTAGGGATCCAGCTCTCTTTGAAACCCTGTGATGAAAACATTCTTTATCTAATAGTTAAAATCAACCAATGCTTTTCTTACCTTCCATCTTCTGCCAATGTCATGATTTCTACTTGTTGATCACAAAGGGTCCCACTGCTAGTGACTAGCCTCCTCTGTGTCAGGCCAAGCACAGCTTTTATATTTCCAGAACTCAGGAGTACCTGCTTTTCACTTTCACCATCAGAGGAACAAAGTAATGCCCTAAACCAAATATAAGGAAAAACGCAGAGCTGTCAGGAGTAAGCCTTTAATGTTAAAGGACCAGGTTCAAACTTTGAATGGAAACTTCAGTCAGTGTTGTCATTCTATTGATGTTTTGTTTTGTTTTTAAACAAATCTCTCTTCAGACCTAAATTTAGATTCTTTCAAGACTCAAACCTAGGTTATAACATGCACTCAGAACAAGCTGACAGAGACAAAGACTAGGGACAGAAAAAACTACTCTGTGGGATTTACATACCTGATTTCTCTGATTTCCAAATTTCCCAAAGCCACAAACACAAGATTACAAACATCAGGCACTAGAACTATCTGTAATACGGGAACCTAAATAAAATAAAGCAGCCAAAAATTATATTTGGTTAATTTTTAATTAATCTAAATTTCCCAGAACTTATCACATTCTTTTCTATTCTCCCTGTAGTAGGATAGTTGCCAACATTTGAAGAAAAGTGCAAAGGTTCAACAAACACCCTCTTTTCATAAGCTGTAAATCCAAATAAGCTATACGCACAACAGTGTTTACTACAGCGTTTATTTATGCAATCTACACTTCTAACAACAGGGGAATGATTAAATAAATTTTGGCATGTGAACAAATGGAACAGTCATTTAAAACAAGTTTATTCACTGAACAAATACTTACTGAGCACTACTATGCAAAGCACAGTGCTAGAAGCTGTGGACGTACTGGAGAACAAGAATGAAATTTGCTAAGAAAGTAGATCATAAGCATTCTCACCAAGAACAAAAAAAGCGGGGGGCCGGCCCCGTGGCGTAGCGGTTAAGTGTGCGCGCTCCGCTGCCGGCGGCCAGGGTTCGGATCCCAGGCGCGCACCGATGCACCGCTTGTCAGGCCATGCTGTGGTGGTGTCCCACATCAAGTGGAGGAAGATGGGCACTGATGTGACTAGCTCAGGGCCAGTCTTCCTCAGCAAAAAAGAGGTGGATTGGCATTGGATGTTAGCTCAGGGCTGATCCTCCTCACGAAAAAAAAAAAACAAAACAAACCAGGTAGCTATGTGAGGTCATGGACGTGTGAATTAACTTGATTGTGGGAATCCTTTCACAATGTATACATATATCAAATCATCACATTGTACACTTTAAATATATTACAATTTTATTTGTCAATTATGCCTCAACAAAGATGGAAAAATAAATAAATAAAATTCAACATAAACAAATAAGTATGAAGAATACGTAGATATAAGGAAACGTTTATATGGTAAGTGAGGAAAGGCAGATTTGACAATTTGAAGCACACTCGGATTGCAACCATGTAAGATATGTATGAAGGCAGACAAGGACTAGAAGAAAATACATATAGAAAAAAAGCAGGAATGATGCTTTTGTAAGGTATAAGAAATACAGGTATCAGCAAGTTTACAAGTCAGAATAGACATGAAATTCCAAGCTCCTCCCACCAGGAGGTCTAGTGTAAAAATCCATCTCTGAATAAACATGTGATAAAGCCAATATAGCACAGTGTTAACCATAGAGTCTAGATGGTGGGCATATGGGTGCTCACAGTACAACTTTTCTGTATGTCTGAAAACTTTCATAGTAAAATGCTGGGGAAAAACCTCATCTCTCTGCTCTGTCTTGCATGGTCATAGATCCCATTTTTGGTAAGCTGCCCATTTACATCACCATGCAAATGACTGCAAAGATCTCTTTCACCTCTAAGATTCTGACTTACCTCTGTGAAGTGCCAGGAATAAATTTTTTCCCACTGCCAAGTATCCAGAGGTTTCCAAAGAGAAACTACATATTCACAAGCAGTTATGATACATGGCTCTTTCAAACCAGCTATTTCCCACCACATGGCACTCACATCCACAGAACAGGAACCTGAAGGATTCTGACACAGAACAGCAATAAGTTACATTAAAGGGATACTTGGGGTGTTTTATGAAAAGAGGAAATATGAAAAGTGATGGATTACAAGGATCAGATGAAATACCAAGTAAATGTAATTAAAGTTTTATGCAAGTCAAAAGAAAGAGCACTGTGGGTCTTATCCAACTAAAAAATTGCCCATACACACTTACATTATGATACATTTTAAAATGTATAGCTCCAGAATGGGACAGATTCAGATTTAACCACAAAAGAGAGCCCATAAGAACTTGGCCACCCGGAAATGAAACATCCTGATGAACCACCCACGGGTTGAAGAGGGAATCAACTGAAACAACATACTATTTCTAAAACGCACAACAAGGAGAGCACTGTGTGTCCAAACATACAGAGCATGGCCAAAGCAGTATTTCCAGAAAAATTTACAATCATAAAGGCATTTATCAAAAGATAAGGAAGATAAAAATAAAGTAAGCAAGCAGCTCAAGAAGTTAATAAAAGAACAATGAAATAAGCACAGTGAAAAACAGAAGGAAGGGGTTATTAAGGATAAAAACAGAAATAAATGAAATAGGAAACAAAAAAACCCAATTAACAATCAATATAAACAAAAACTAGTTTTTTTGAAAACCAACAGAATGGAGAAATTTCTTAGGTCTGATGTAGGGAAAAAATACTTTTAGAAATAGGGAGTGGGAGAGAGAGGCTTAAATGCATATACACAGACAAAAAAACTATAATAATAATAAATAACCTTTTACTTATGAATTTGAAAATATGAATGAAATGGTTGATTCCTTAAGAAATTAAGTTATTAAAACTGATTCAAGGGACCGGCCCTGTGGCATAGTGGTTAAGTTAAGTGCACTCTGCTTCGGCAGCCTGGGTTTGCAGGTTCAGATCCCAGGCGCGGACCTACACCACTCATCAGCCATGCTGTGGCGGCGACCTACATATAAAGTGGAGGAGAACTGGCACAGATGTTAGCTCAGGGCTAATCTTCCTCAAGCAAAAAAAGAGGAAGATTGGCAACAGATGTTAGCTCAGGGCTAATCTTCCTCAGCAAAAAAAAACCTGATTCAAGAATAGCATTGAAACACCATAGGTATTACTATGTATCTTTTATAGAAAAGGAATCTTGGGTTCAGAGGCCAAATGAGCTGCCCAAAGTTACACAGCCAGTTATTGGCAGAAACAGTTTAATGCAGATTTAAAGCTCTTTCTTCCTCACCAGTTATTCTCAACTGGAGGTAATTTTGCAACCCTCCCCCTGGGAACATTTAGGAATATCTGGAGACATTTTTGATTATCACAACTGGGGAGGGGTTGCTACTGGCTCTAGTGGGTAGAGGCCTGGGATGCTGGTAAATATCCTACAAGGCACAGGCCAGCCCTCCACAACACAGAATTATCCAGCCCCAAGCGTCAACAGTGCTAAGATTGAGAAACCCTGCTCTATACCATGCTATTTCAAGTACCATGTATAAAAAGTTAACTAGGACATGGGTCCAATCCACTTCTCAGGATTTACTAAAATATCATTAACAGGGGCCGGCCCCATGGCATAGCAGTTAAGTGCGCATGCTCCACTGCTGGCGGCTTGGGTTCAGATCCTGGGTGTGCACTGACGCACCGCTTGTCAGGCTATGCTGTGGCGGCGTCCCATATAAAGTGGAGGAAGAAGGGCACAGCTGTTAGCCCAGGGCCAGTCTTCCTCAGCAAAAAGAGGACGATTGCCATGGATGTTAGCTCAGGGCTGATCTTCCTCACACAAATAAATAAATAAATAAATAAAATAAAATATCATTAACAGATTATTGTAATTTATATTTCTCAGAACCATATATATCACATAACATATGAAAGATTAACCATTCACTCTATCATAATCTAGAACTGCTCCCCATTTTCTAATAAATCACCATAAGTGATTCTTCTAGAAACATTACACCGTTTGGATAGGAGAGGCATAAATGGCTCCTCTCTTTCTTTTTCTCCCTCTGTCAAAATGCCTGATTTTAATTTAGATACCAAGTTGAGTTACTTAGCTTAAGTTGTTCTTGTCAATAGCTTGACATATAAACTTCTTCAGGAGATGATCTCAAAATACAAACAGGTAAATATTGTGAAAAACAAAGATTTTTTTTTTTCTTTTTTGGTGAGGAAGATCCGCCCTGAGCTAACATCTGCTGCCAATCTTCCTCTTTTTGCTGAGAAAGATTAGCCCTGAGCTAACATCTGTGCCCATCTTCCTCTATTTTGTATGTGGGACACTGCCATGGCATGGCTTGATAAGCGGTGTGTAGGTCCATGCCTCGGAAGCAAACCTGCGAACCCTGGCTGCCGAAGCAGAGCGTGTGAACTTAACCACTATGCCACCAGGCCAGGCCCAAAACAAAGAATTTAAATCTCTTTTTCCGAATCTGGTTTACCAAGTTTATTTAATACTATTAAACTAGGAATGAGAAGCTAGATGATCAAATTCTTCTCAATTTTCCTATCAATTTATTAAAATTTTCACATGTAAGACATAAGACACATTATAAAATAACAGTCTTCTGACCTTTAACTTTGAAACCAATTGTAGGCTGCCTGGGTTCACGCTGTCACAAGCAGGAAGGTCTGCTGTCTCTGTCTGTGGAAACAAGTCACATGATTAATCTACACTTTATATATGATGTCTGCCTGCGTCACTCCCTCATCAAAACGTCTACGTCATAAGTTCTATTTTCTCTGGTAAAAGCCGCAAAACTCCAAATGCAACTGCTTCACTGATGACAAAGAGAATAGGATCCCCCACATTTCAAAAAATTATTTTTTAATTAATCTTAATTTCCCCAGAATGAACTTCATGTTTACAGTGAAGTCACATTAAAGAACACATTAAAACATTCTTAAACACTGAGGAGCCAGTGTGTAAGGAAGCCATGCTGTCCACACTCACCAAGATATTTCATTCCTTCAGAGAACATTTCACACAGGAAGTGGACTGTACCTGGTCAATGGGCTGTTTCCACGATTCCAGGCATGTATTTCCACAGAGCTGATTTTCTTTGAGAGTGAGTGACTCAGTGAGCAGAGATGTCGCTTGGGGACCAGATTCACAGTCACAGGAAGGCTTTCCTTTCCTTCTTGACACATGCAGGCTGCTGTCCAATTTTGGTGGGCTGGTCCACCTGCTGCACTGCTTAGGATCAGTAGCAAGACTGACTGGGGCTCTCATGTGAGAAAGCTGGGGTGTAGAGCAAGTTCGTCCAACAGCCCCCGCAGACACTCTGTCACAGTGTGCTTGGGAGCCAACAGCTGGAGTAGCACCTAAGATGGGGAAAGCAGGCGAACACACGTCTGCTGCTGGTTCCTCGTTATCATCCGGTGTAACAGTATTTAAAGGAGTGAAAAGTAATATGGATGAAGACAGGCCCTTCTGAGGCTGGCTTTTTAAGTTTGGCATTTTAGGATGTGCTTTTTCTGGTAAAATAATCAGTTCCTCTTCCAAGTCCTCCATTTCTATATTGATCTGCTCAGGAGTCAGTTCCTCCAAAACAATAAAATTTTCCTCTTTAAGATGCCCCTCTCCATACTTTTTTGATTCAAAAGGCTCAATTTCCTTTTCTGAGCAGGACTTCAGTTTTTCAAGTTTAAGAGATCCGAAGTCTTTATCAGGTAACTGAAAGTCTGTGATTTTGAGGAAAGATGACAGTCGCTTTAAACTGAGCATTTCATTCTTCTGAAATGGAGCACTGAAAGCATCATCATCCAAAGCTAAATAAGCATTATTTCTGGAGGAAAGGGAGTCCTCTTTTTGACAATGGCTTTCCTTCCCTAAAACAGAAAGCAACAATAACAAATCTCCAACAGAAGAGACATTAATACCCAACAAGGAGTGAGCTTCTGAACTCTAATACAGTGTAAAATGTACATTACTTTTCCCACCCATGACTCTGAAACCTCAATGAAGGGTTCAAAACTTGGCCACAGGTTAGCAGTTAACTAGCAGCTTTCCTTTTGCAGTATCAAAAACAGTATGGTGCTGACAGCATTGGCTGGGAGAAGGAAGACACGGGTCTAGTCCCAGCTCTGCCACTGATCTGCTGTGTTACCTTGGGCAAGTCAATTCACTTCATTTTGACCTTCTCCCTCATAAGGGAACTAGACTAAGAATTTCTAATGTCCTTCTTCCTCTAAAACTGATTCCAACAGGCTACCAGAATACAGTCTACAAAATGCTGGCTCTTCTCTCTGAAGAAAACTTAGTCCCCTTTTCAAGCAAGGAGTAATTTACTGCTCTTAGAGTGACTGGAATTCTACACCATTCTAAATATGGCTGCATCCATCATCAAATGAATGCATAAACAAACTGTGGTACATACGTGTGATGGAATATTATTCAGCCGCAAAAAAAAAATGAAATACTGATACATGTTACAAGATGGATGTCAAAAACACGCTAAGTGAAAGGAGCTAGATACAAAAGGTCACATACTGTATAATTCCATTAATATGAAATACCCAGAATCAGTAAATCCATAGAGATAGAATACAGATTGGTGGTTGCCAGGGGCTAAGGGGAGAGGAAACGGGAAACAACTGCTTAATGGGTATGGGGTTTCCTTTTGAGGTGTTGAAAATATTTTGGAAGATACAGGTCATGGTTGCATAGCATCGTGAATGTACTAAATGCTACTGGATTGTTCACTTAATTCAAAATGGTTAATTTTATGTTATGTGAATGTCACCTCAAGAAAAAATAATTTTTAATATAGCTGCAGGTTACTAAAATCACAGCAGGTTATTTCAAAGTATACAAGAGAATGTTTCTAGTTTACTACTAGATTGCCATACTTTCTGATTCCTTTGTTTTCGTGTTGGCTTAAAAGATAAAAAAGTCATAATGATTATTATTTTAAAATTAATCAATTAATTATAACTCCGAGTCCAAAGCCTGCATCCACTTGTATAGAGCAGACGGCTGCCTGTTTTTGTAAATAAAGTTTTATTGGAACACGGGCACATCTACATATTGTCTATGGCTACTTTTGCACTATAGTTGAACAGCTATGATAGAGCACAATGACTGTATTTACTATCTGGCTCTTTACAGAAAGTTTGCTAATCTCTAGTATAGAATCACAGTAAATTATCTAGTTTTTGTGCTCAGTTTATCAGATATAACTACTGAGTAAATGAATAAAAAGCTTCAATTATAACATGTCACTTGCTATCCTCCAAAATCTTCACTTGCTATCCTCCAAAATCTTATGTCCCACAGACCTTAGAGAGACTATTATTAGATATTTTATCCCAAAAAGTTGCTCAGACCTTTTACATTCCAAGAGAGTTTGTCAGAGGATCTTACTCTGACACACATTTCATTTCATTTTACCTCAAAAACACTTCCTGTATTAGTCGTAAAGCTTCTACCCATGGATAAAGATTGCGTAGTACCTGAGAAAATACTAATTTTAGGAAGACATCCAATATATTTTCCTTCTCAACCACATTAGTGAACTCTGACACCACACAGCTAGGTTTGAATCCTGGCTCTGTCACTTTTATTGATTCAAGTCACTTGAATCTCCTTGTGCCTTAGCTTCCTCATCTGTAAAGTGAAGAGAAAAACAGACTCTACCTCATGTAGGGTTGCTGTGATTCAATAAGTTAGCATCTGTACAATATCTAGAAAGTGCCAGGCACATAGTGTTAACTACCATTATCAACAACCACCCCTTGATTCACCTCTAACTCTTCTTACCGTGAATAATTGCTTTTTCATTCTGATCTTTGTGCAAGGCGACTTCTTCCTTGGACCTATTAACACCTGATGTGCCGGAAGTTGGCAAAAATAGTTCACGATGATCTAATACAGGGGTGCAGGTTGACTTTCTTCTTCCTCTGTGTCTTCTACCAGATGGCTGGGTAACCGCCTTCCTAGAACAGTCATCTTTAGTGGGCCCACCAGGAGCGGTGACTTCAGTTAATGACAGAAGTTTCTGACGAGGACTTCTTGAATTTGGTCGTCCTGTGCATGTGTCAGACATCCTAATTTCACTCTGGTTAGTTTCTTCATTGGAAGAGTTTAAATTTTTAGTAGCTTCCTTTTTATTTTTAAATCCTTTCTTTCTGACACCCAAATGACTCTGAATTACAACCTCCAGAGCTCCTTTCCTCTGGCAACTTGACATGCGTCGTGTGGTTCTAACATAATATTCTGCAGGAAACAGAAGGCCTTCAAGCATTGTGCAAGAATGTGTTTGATTTTCCGTAGAATCAGGAGAGATTATTTCTGGGCTAAGACTCTTAGATTGACTTAGAACCTCATTTTCCTGAATACTTTCATTTCTACCACCAAGTGTGTTATTGGGAGATTTTAAAGACTTCTCTGGGTGATTTTGTTCTTTGAAGTTTTGGTTTTCATTTGCTGATAAGTTATCATAAGTGAGTTCATTTACAGAACATGAATTATCTGCCTCTAAGTTAGGACTTCTAAGCAGCTGGCCACTTGCACTTACAGCTTTATTTACCTCTGGGTTATCTGTAAGGACGGTCATTTTTTTGCCTTGTGCCTCTAAGTTTACAGGTGAAACAGGGCTAACATTTTTTAAACTGTGAGCACTAAGTTCATAGTTACCTTTGGAAGGCTTATGTTCAAGACGCTGACCATTACTGCTATCTGTTGGAGTATGCAAAGGCAGTGTAGTCGCTCTGGGGAAATTGTTTCCTCTTAAGAGTGCCTCGACACCTCTTTGTGGTTTGGCATTTGGAATTAATACACTCCCTACGTTAATTTCTGTAACTGGTGCTGGAAAATCTGGAATGTCAGACTGAGGACTTGGAAAGTAAGTTCTTATTTCAGTTACAGGTGTCCTAGGATTTTGTCTACTGATATCTTCCTGTTCCTTTAGTCTTTTTCCAGAGAGTATAAGTGAATCAGTGTCAAAGAAGGATTCTCTCTCCTTTGAAATAAATGTTCTCTTCTGCTGCTTAGTTCTCCCTGGCAGCTTACTCTGCCTTCTCTCACCATCAGGGCCATTGACTCTATAGGGAAAATGTTCTTGGATATCATCCGTTCTTTGTATGCGTAATCCTTCCATGGGGCCATGTCTGGGGTTAAAGGACTCACGCTCCGCGTCAAGTGTGATAGGTGTCTTTTCTCCAGGTTCCTCACCCAGATGGGTGTTGATCTGTAACGTGTCACAAGGAGATACCTTATTTTTAGGTTCTGAGGAGAAAAAAATGATATAATTAATATTTTCCTTTTAAAACGAAACAAAAAATACTACATATTTATTTTAAAAGATTGTATATAAATACTGCCAAATATTTATTTAAGAGAGTCAATGGTATTTCATTCAGGCAGATCAAAGTTTAAGTTTTTAATAATCTAATAAACTATAATAAGTTTAAGTAAATGTAAACAAACAGAACTGTGAGGGAAAAAATGATTTTTAAACTAAAACTTTTAGTTTAAAAAGAGCAATTAAACAATTCAACTAAAAGCATAGTTTATTGCTCACGGAATGAGAGAAAATATTTACAAATCACGTATCTGATAAGGGTCTAACAGCTAGAATATATGAAGAGTCTTTACAGCTCAACAATAAAAAGACAACCTAATTAAAATATTGGTAAAGTACTTGAATAAACGTTTCTCCAAAGAAGATATACAAATGGCCAATAAGCACAGGAAAAGATGTTCCACAATCACTAGTCACTAGGAAATGCAAATCAAAACCAATTAGATACCACTTAACTTCTACCAGGAAGATTATAATTTTAAAAATGGAAAATTACAAATATTAGCAAGGATGTAGAGAAATTGGAATCTTTGTGCATTGTGGTGGGAATGTAAAATGGTACAGCTGCTGTAGAAAAAAGTCTGGCAGCTCCTCAAAAAGTTAAACATAGAATTACCATATGACCCAGCAATTCCACTCCTAGGTATATGCACAAAAGAACTGAAAACATATGTCCAAAAACACTCGTACCTTATAGTTCACAATAGCATAATAGCCAAAATTCACAATAGCCAGAAAGTAGAAACAATCCAAATGTCAATCAACTGATAAACGGATATACAAATTATGGTACATCCATACAAGTGAATATTATTCAGCTGCAAAAAGCAATGAAGTACTGATGCATGCTTGGATGTATGGATGGATGGATGACCACTGAAAACACTATGCTAAGTGAAAGAAGCCAGTTACAAAAGGCCACAAATTTTATGGTTCCATTTTATATAAAATGTCCAGAATAGGTAAATCTACAGAGACAGAAAGCAGATTAGTGGTGGCCAGGGGTTAGGGGTAGGATGGGTATGGGGTTTCTTTTGGGGGTAGTGAAAATGTTCTGAAATTACTTAGTGATGATGGTTGCACAATCTCGTGAATATACAAAGAACCACTGAACTGTACACTTTAAAAAATGTCTATTGCTAGTCCTTATCTTTTGGCTGTGAGAAAAAGAACCACAGCCAAATATACTGGGAGATGAATAATGAAGCAAGCATAAGTGAATGGGCTAGCTTTACCTGAGTGGTTTAGCTGTGGTGAAATTTCCTGCTGGAGCAAGCAATCTTGTTCTTCCACTGTTTTCTTAATAGAATTCTTAATCTTCTCAGCTCTTTGGGCACGCTAGAGAAAACAAAAGCAGCTCAAGGAACAAATTTAAGAAGAATTAAGTTTTTTTTTTAAGTTTTATTATTATGAACTGTTTTTATATAGTTTGTACTACAATACCCCAATTTGAGAGAATAGGACTCACTTACCTGAAGGCGGGCCAGGGTCTTGCTGTATTCCCTTTTCAAGAATGCTAGTTTTTCCTTCAACTGGAAAAAGAAAAACACCAAACAATGCTGAGCAGGTGGAAAGGCGGAGTCAGAGAGAAGGGATACAGTGCCTGTCAGACTCGAGTGCACAGTGCTCAGCACGTCCCTCAGTAAGCAGGAGTGGAGGGCGTGGCACTGGCCCACACTCCTTTCAGTTCTCACAAAGCACCAAGCTCTCTGATATCCCAGCCCCTTTGCAGAAACTGTTCCTATCACCTGGAGCATTTCCTCCCCAACTCATTTTGCTAATTCCTACTGATTCCTCAAGCCTTGACTTAGATTTTTATTTCCCTGGGGTAGACTTCTAGGTCCCTCTCCAAATCCAGGTTAGACAATCCACCTCTCCTCTGTGCTTCCTTTGTCACAGTTCTTATTAAACTATGTCGTCTGTTTACTTCTGTTTCCCCCTGTGAAATCCTTGAAGGCAGCAGGAGCTGTCATCTTCAGACATTCATTTGACAAATACATCTCTTATTTGTCAGTTATTGGTCCAGGTATCTCTAGCACCTGGAACAATAACTGATACCCACTGTGTGTCAGTTATTGTTCCAGGTCTTGGATATACAGAGTGGTCAAGATTACATACAGTGAAAGACACAGATAATAAACAAGAAAACAAACAGATAAAATGATTTCACATGGCAATCAATACTTGGATAAACAGGGAGCTGTGCGAGTGCCTGGCCTACCGCGCCTGGGCCACAGTACTTTAGATAGGGTGGCCAGGCAGGCGTTTCTGAGGACTACCATGTGAGCCCAGACCTGAAGAAGGAAGGAGCTCGCTTTGGGGAGATCAGAGAGAAAGCAATTTGTCCAAGATCACAGTTTATAAGTGGCATGATTCAAATCCAAGCAGTCCAGTTCTAGAGTCTGTGCTCCTAACCTCTATGCTAGACTGCTTTTCACAGCATCCTATTTATCACCAAGCTTATCAATATCCGGGAATCATCCTGTTGACTTGTAAATGACCTTTCTCACCCCCACTAGAAGGTAGGCCTGGATAAGAGGACTGATAAGTAAATGTGAATAGAGTTCAGCACAATGCCTGGAACAGCCAGCACAAGACACATTCAAGCTAACATCAGCACAAGCACAAAGTGGCATGGATAAGGATATTTAGAGCAGCACTGTTGTAGACACAGAAGCTGGAAACAACATAAAATTCTCAGCTGAATAATGTTTAAAGAAAAGATGGCACTTTCACACTACAGAATACTATATGGAACTTAAAAAAACAAGGTAGGCAAACATGTACTAACGTGGCTGTTAAACCTGAAGAAGAAAAACGGAAGTTGCACAACCATCCAGATCATACCACTTATGAACATTCTCCCTTCCAAAAAATACATATTACTTTTTGGTGGTTAGGGAATACAACGGTACCTCTCCACGTCCCCCACGCCGCCCACCATACATACACACACACACACACACACACGCGCGCGCGCACACACACACGCACGTGCGCCAAGATCGAAAGTACCAGACTAAGAGATTTACTTGCGGGGGGCGGGGAGGGGAGAAGCCAAGATTGGAGAGGGGAGGCGGGGACTTAGCTTTATCTAAGGTTAACATTTTGTATTTATGCATTAGCGCTGTAATGGAAATTTCTTCTTGAAATGCCACCACGTGAGCACAGCGCTCTTCTACACTTTCCAGTCCAGAGAAGAGCGCAAATCAGAGTAACTGCGGCCCTCGAACGGCCAAGGAAACAGCCAGCCTAACATCCTGGGAGAGGGGGTCAGAGTTCTGAGTCGGCCCTTCCCGCACCCCTCGGCACCTTTTCCTTCTCCTCAAAGCTGAGGGGCTTCCCGGGAGGCTCTTCCATCGGGCCAGAGGCCGAAAGAAAAGAGCAGCTGTCGCCGGCCCGGGGCCTGAGGACACTAAGATTCCGGAGGGCCCTGGACCCCCGAGGCGCCGGGAGAAAAACGGGGCGCCCAGTATCCCCTCAGCGCGCGACCAGCCGGCCCACGCGGGCCCCGCGCGCCGTCAAGACCGGCCAATTACATCCAGCGCTCGGCCTGCGCACGCGCAGCCGGAGACTGCCGAGCAATGGAGCGGGGCCTCCTAGCGGAGAGCCGAGCCGTGGATGAGACCAGAGGCCGCCTGGACCGGAAGTGGAGGAGCAGCCGGAAGTAGCTGGGATCCGTGACAGACAGACCGGCAGACAGACTTTGACAGGAGCGAGAGCTGCGGAAAGGAGTTGGTGGCCATGGAGTTGGGCGAGCTGCTCTACAACAAGTCCGAGTACATCGAGACGGTGAGCGTGTCCAGTCATCTGTCCTCCCCTTTCCAAGCTTGCGTCCCTTTGAGGCCGCTGCCCCCATCCTCTCGCTGCCCCACCCCGGCTCCCTTTGGCAATTCGTCCGGGATCACCTAGTGACACTTCGTGTATGGTCTGGCTTCGTTATATCTTCCTTGCATGGCCAGTTTAGGTTTTTTCATTTATTGCTGACTTCCTCGTAGAGATAAAATGACTTCCAGAAAGCAGGTCATCCATCCTAATATTAATTACAGTTCCAGGCTTCTGGCCCTTTTAAACTATTTTTTTTGTGTGTGAGGAAGATCAGCCCTGAGCTAACATCAGTGCTAATCCTCTTTTTTTTTTTTTTTTTTTTTTTTTGCTGAGGAAGACCAGCTCTGAGCTAACATCTATTGCCAATCCTCCTTTTTTTCCCCCAAAGCCCCAATAGATAGTTGTATGTCATAGCTACACATCCTTCTAGTTGCTGTATGTGGGACCCGGCCTCAGCATGGCCCGACAAGTGGTGCGTCTGTGGGCGCCCGGGATCCGAACCTGGCCGCCAGTAGCGGAGCGCGCGCACTTAACCGCTAAGCCATGGGGCCAGTCCCTAAACTATTTTTTAAAACTAACATTTCGTAATTTACTACTATGTGCTAAAGACTGTTAGCTTCTTTAGAGTTGATACATGATGTGTGTAAGTTGCTTGAAACGGAGTAAGTGCTTCATCAACTTTCCTATTATTTTGTTTTTCATTGAGTTCTCACAACCCTATGATATTGGTAAAGTTATTATCCTGGTTTTAGGGCTGTAAAACCGAAGTAGAGAGCTGACACCTGAATCCATGTTTCTGAAGCCATTAGGGTGTAGACCTACCACATCCAAACTCTGGAGCCATTCTTTGAATCTCCAGTTTCCTAATCCATCCCTGCTTCTTTGATATCCTGGACTCATTCTGTTGCAGACCACACCCCGTGTCAAGTCCTTTTCTCTCCAATCTGAGCTTTCTTGATGGAAACCTGTAGCCCAGAACCCACCCGGTTTACTCACGCCCATTTTCCACTGTTTCCTTTCAGGCGTCTGGGAACAAGGTTAGTCGCCAGTCAGTGCTGTGTGGAAGTCAGAACATCGTTCTCAATGGCAAGGTAAGGGGCAGAGCCAGCTCCAGGATGCATACCTTTGCTTTCTCTCTACTAATGATCACCTTAGCAGGGCAGATAAAATGTTGCCACGTCTCCCGTTTATTACTGTACATTTTAAAATTCTCTTTCTTTTTTTTTTCTTTTTCATTCTCCAAATTGTATTTATGGAATACAAAACAGATTCAATAAAGGGAGGCAACAGAAAGCCTTTTTCCTTTTATGCCAGGCACAAAATACAATGGCACCTAGAACTGAAATTATTATACAGTATTGTAGTGTGCCCTGAACTAGTGGACACAAAGCATAAATAGGCAGCAGAATATTTTAGGCTAAAAACTAAAGTAATACTAATATAATTATCTGTTTAATAATAATGATTCAGTATTAATTGACACTTAAAATTAACGTGACAATTGAGAAAGATATTAAAATATGAGACAGATATGCAAAATGGAATATGAAAGGCTCAGAATCTTGTAGTCTGAATAAATTGGAATAGCAGAGAGATGAGTATCAGCCTGGGAATAATGTCAGAACATTTCAGAACCAGAGAAAATATCAGGATATATTTGAGCTTGACAAACACTGAAGTCTATAGTTTTTTCCTGCCATCTAGAACACTCAATTTTCCTTGAAATGTTACATCTCTAACTTCAGAGAGAATATAGTCTCACTGAAGTGAAGATATCAGATGTAATGGAGATATCACAGATATTTTCAGTACAGACACAATTACTGGCTCCATTAGCCCATCATACCATGAAATTTAATAGAAAAGAAATATGGTTCAGTAATGAGATATCATTAGTAATTATAGACACATTGTTTCTGCACAGAATTTGCAAATTCAGTTAACTCCATCTGACTCAATAACAAATGTGTGGAGGTTTTTTGGAAATCTGTTAGCTAATTCCAAAACATTTTCTGTGATCTTGTAGGAAGATTTTTTTTTTTATTGAAGTGAAGTATATGTGACAAATTTTACCATTTTAACCATTTTTAAATGTACAGTTCATTGGCATTAATTACATTCACAGTGTTGTGCACCCATCATCTCTATGTATTTCCAAAACATTTTCATCACCCCAACAGAAACTCTGTACCCATTAAGGAATAACTCCCCATTCCCTTCTCTCCCTAGTCCTGAGTAACCTCAATTTACTTTCTGTTTCTGTGAATTTGCCTATTCTAGAAATTTCATATAAGTGGAGCCATATAATATTTATCTTTTTTTGGTCTGACTTATTTCACTTAGCATAATGTTTTCAAGGTTCATCCATGTTGTAGCATGTATCAGAATTTATTCCTTTTCATGGCTGAATAATATTCTATTGTATGTATATACCACATTTTGTTTATCCATTCATCTATTGACAGACACTTTGGTTGTTTCCACTTTTTGGCGATTGTGAATAATGCTGCATACAAGTATCTGTTCAAGTCCTTGTTTTCAATTCTTTTGGGTATATACCTAGGGGTGGGATGCCTGGGTCATATGGTAATTTTATGTTTAGCTTTATGAGGAACTGCCAAACTGTTTTCCATAAAGGCTGCACCATTTTACATTCCCACTGCAATGCAAGAGAGTACTGATTTCTCCACATCCTTACCAACACTTATTACTTTCTTTTTTTGGATGTGGGTGTGAATGGTATCTCATTGTGGTTTTGATTTGCGTTTCCCTAATGACTAATGTTGAGGAACATCTTTTAATGTGCTTATTGGCCATTTGTATATCTCCTTTGGAGAAATGTCTCTTCAGTCCTTTGCTCGGTTTTATTTTTGTTTTTTTAATTTTTATTTATTTATTTTTTTGTGAGGAAGATCAGCCCTGAGCTAACATCCATGCCAATCCTCCTCTTTTTGCTGAGGAAGACTGGCCCTGGGCTAACATCTGTGCCCATCTTCCTCTAATTTATATGGGACGCTGCCACACCATGGCCTGACAAGCGGTGCCTCAGTGCACGCCTGGGATCCGAACCCAGGCCGCCAGCGCTACGCTACACCACGGGGCTGGCCCCCTTTGCCCATTTTTAAATTGTGTTATCTTTTTATTGCTGAGTTGTAGGAGTTCTTTATATATTCTGGACATTAAACTCTTATCATATATATGATTGCAAATATTTTCTACCATTCTGTGGATTGTCTTTTCACTTTCTTGATAATGTCCTTTGATGCACAAAAGGTTTTAATTTTGATGAAGTCCAATTTTTCTTTTGTTTCTCAAGGTTTTGTTGTCGTATCTAAGAATCCGTTGCCAAACCCAACGTCACAAAAATTTACTCATATATTTTCTTCTAAGAATTTTATGGTTTTAGTACTTGTATTTAGGTCATTAGTCCATTTTGAGTTAATTTTTGTATATGGTGTAAGGTAAGAGTCCTGTTAATTCTTTTGGATGTGGAAACCCAGTTGTCCGAGCACCATTTATTGAAGAGACTGTTCTTTCCCCATTAAATAGTTTTGGCATCCTTGTACAAAATCAATGGGCCATCAATGTAAAGGTTTATTTCTGGACTCTCAATTCTTTTTGTGTGTGTGTGAGGAAGATCAGCCCTGAGCTAACATCCACGCTTATCCTCCTCTTTTTGCTGAGGAAGACCGGCTCTGAGCAAACATCTGTTGCCAATCCTCCTCCATTTTTTTTCCCCAAAGCCCCAGTAGATAGTTGTATGTCATAGTTGCACATCCTTCTAGTTGCTGTATGTGGGACACGGCCTCAGCATGGCCAGAGAAGCGGTGTGTCGGTGCGTGCCTGGGATCCGAACCCAGGCCGCCAGTAGCGGAGCGCACACACTTAATCGCTGCGCCGGGGATCCGAACCCAGGCCACCAGTAGCGGAGCGTGCGCACTTAACCACTAAGCCACAGGGCCGGCCCAGGAAGCATAAATGTTAAATCAACACCATGAACCTACCACCCAACTGAAGAATGGGAACATAATGCATAATAATACGGTACTACCTTTATGTTCCTCTCCTATCCCTCTCCTTTGCCTCTTTCTGAGAGGACACCGTTATCCTGAATTTTGTGTCTTATAAATTCTTTCTTTAAAAAAAAAATTGTTTTACGACATACATATATATCCCTAAATTATATATATTGTTCAGCTTTACTTAGTTTTCTATGACTTACTTTTTCTATACTCAATTATTATAATGACAGTAGAAAATATATCACACTCACTAAGTACCATTGTTCTCAACTATGTTTCTGAGATTCATTGTGGTTTGTGCATTTTCACTGCTGTGTACAATTCCATTTATTCCCTCCTATTGGTGGATTTTGTTTCCAGTTTTTTGTTGTTACAAACAATCCATTTATGTTTCTAGCCCCTGTCAGAACTGGGATCAGAACTTTGACATTTCTGTTTTCCTGAGCTCTTATATCAAGACAGGGCTCAAACGAGGAAAGAAGACTGGGTGTCAACAGTCCAGAGTGGTGGGGCCGGGTGAATTGGAGAATGAATACATGACCTAGCTAAGCTCAAGCTGATTGTTGCCGTGTGGCAATACAGGCCTATATTTCCAGAGCTTCTGATTTTCTCAAAAGAAATTGGAAATCTGGGGCTGGCCCCGTGGCGTAGCGGGTAAGTGCGCGTGCTCTGCTGCTGGCGGCCCAGGTTCGGATCCGGACGCGCACCGATGCACCGCTTGTCAGGCCATGCTGTGGCAGCGTCCCACATAAAGTGGAGGAAGATGGACACAGCTGTTAGCCCAGGGCCAGTCTTCCTCAGCAAAAAGAGGGGGATTGGCTTGGATGTTAGCTCAGGGCTGATCTTCCTCACAAAAAAAAAGAAATTGGAAATCTGGATTTTTTTCATGCAAAATGTCCCACTATTCAAATAATAGCATCTAATTTAAATAATAAAAAACGCTGCATGGGCCAAACAAAACAGCTTTCCAGGTGAAGTCCTTAGACCTCCAACTTGCCACCTGTGCCTTAGCCATTGCTGAGTTCAGTGAACTCTCTGCTTTTGCATCACTTTCTTCCATGTGAGTTCCTTATAGACACCTCGTTTCATTTTAAGACTCTATTGCCTCGATCTTGAAGCTGACTTCTCCCTTCAGCTCCACTCTTTATGAGATAGGAAATCAGGATTTGCATTTCCCTTGCTAAATTTCTTTAACTACCTACGATGTCATTTACTTCTTATGTTTTTTGTGTGTTTACTTCTTCAGTAGGAGTGAAATTTAGCCGGACTGAGGGACGTATATGGATTTTATTTATTTCCAGATTAAGATTGTTATCTTTATTTAAAACACTCTAAGACAACAACAATCAACAAATACCCAGAACTCTTGGAATTCTGTTTTCTTCCAGAAGAAAAGGAAGTCATTTTCTCTGATTGTAAATGAAAACAAACTGAAAACAATGATTGAAGTAAATTAAGGATCTCAGATGAAAGAAGTACACACTAGAATTAAACGTCTCCTTAAGCTTGAAGAAGATAGCTTCTTTTTTTTTTTTTGTGAGGAAGATCAGCCCTGAGCTGACATCCATGCTAATCCTCCTCTTTTTGCTGAGGAAGACCGGCCCTGAGCTAACATCTATTGCCAGTCCAGTCCTCCTTTTTTTCCCCAAAGCCCCAGTAGATAGTTGTATGTCATAGCTGCACATCCTTCTAGTTGCTGTATGTGGGACGCGACCTCAGCGTGGCCGGAGAAGCGGTGCGTCGGTGTGCGCCTGGGATCCGAACCTGGGTGGCCAGTAGCGGAGCGTGCGCACTTAACACGCGCTAAACCACGGGGCCGGCCCCCGAAGGTAGCTTTCAAAAACCGAGAGGAACTGTAATACTTTACAATCAGCAGCAGATGTGAAAATTTCTTTTTCTTGGTAGAGGTTTTATAGACTGAACATGTGCAGGTGAAGTTGGTAAACTCTTCAAGTTAAGAGTTCACTTTCTTTTTTAGTATGCTCTCAGAGCCTGGTGTTCAGGCTAGTGATTTATCTAAATTCACCTAAATGTGAGGTATTCCCCATTTACCTCTCTAGCCTGACCTTTTGTCCTTGGCCTCAGAGCTTTATTTACAACTGCCTATTGGTCTTCCCACAGATACCTCAAACTCAGCATTTCAAAATTGAATTTATCGCCTAATCCCCAGAATTGCTCACTCCATCCTTGCCTCTCTTTCTCTTACCCCCAACATCTAAACAATAACTAAGTCATATAGATTCTCTTCCTTTTTTTTTTCTTTTTAAACATTTTATAATGGCATGTTTTTAAAAAACCATCTTTATTGAGGTATAATTTACATACAATAAAATGTACCCATCTTAAGTGTGCAGTTTGACAAGTTCTGACTGATGCATATACATCTGTGCAGCCACTACCACAATCAAGATATGAAATATTTCCATCACCCTAGTTTCCTTGTGCCTGAGTGCAGTCAACCCTCCCTCTACCCTTGGGGCCAGGTAACCACTGATGTAGAACTAATATAGATTAGCATTTTCTAGAGTTTCACGTAATTGGAATCATGTACTCCTTTTTGTCAGGCTTCTTTCACTGAGCATAATTTTTTTGAGATTTATCCAGGTTGTTACATTTATTAGTGGATTAGTAATTCATTACTTTTTTTGGGTGAGCGGTATTATTTTGAAACTTTTAAGACATAGACAAAAGTAGAGAAAACATATACTGAATCCCCATGTACTCATTTATCAGCTTCTACGATTAGAAGTATTCTGGCATTCTTGTTTCATCTCTGTACCCGCCCTCCGAACTCATACCTGTTTTGACCAAGGTCGGGGAGGGAAGCTGGAGAATTTTAAAGCAAATTGCAAGCATCATATTATTTCACCCATAACTGCTTCAGTATGTATCACTGATATTTAAAGACTTAAAAAAAAATGAGTACCCTTATTATAATATTTTTTTAAAAAATAGTAATTCTCTAATATTATGTAATCCTCAGTCCATATTTAGTCTTTCCGGTATCTCAAGAT